GAAATGTCTTTTAGCACTTGAAACAATAAAAATTGGCAGCCACTCTGGATGTGCTGCTCCAAGTTTGAAAAAACAAACAAATACCAAACAAATACCAGGACACAAACATGGTATTTTCAAAGATTGATGCTAGGGGTAAAAAATTTATCAATATTTCTTAATAAATGGCGTGGCAGTTTACATGGCAGTCCCACATCAATTGATGAAAATCCACTGGCACTGCCAAGAACATGGTCAGTGAGGTAGTGGAATGTGTGTGGCATGCCATCTCAACCACCACGTGAATTTTTAAAAAGTATTTGTAAAAAATCTAAGTAGAAATAACGTCTTCCAATATTAAATTATACAGTAAATGGATATAGGCACAAAACCTTGTGACTTGGCATTATTTCCAGGATTATCTTTTTCTGAACCAAGTGTCGGAAAATCTCCAGAAGAAAGCGAAAACCCATCATTCTTCGCTGACAAGACTCCCTGCATGTGTAACAGTAAATAACCAAGATAGATCTTCAGATAAGTACTGGACAGACTGCAACAAAGTAAACAGAGCAGAGGTGTTGTTCAACTACCTTGGGCTCTCCTGGGATTGGAAAGGGTCAAACTTATGGGGTGAATTAAGTTTGTAATTAATTCTGAATGTTATGCTGTTCTTTAATTTAAATTACTATTTGTAGATTAAATAATCAATTAACTAATGATTTTCTGTCACTTTAATGTTTAAGCTTTAAAGTCGTACATAATATTGGTGAGAATGGTATTCACAAAATATGTCATGAGTTTTATCATTTGTGTATTATTCTATGGAGTTTATTAGTACCACTCTTGACTCTTCAGAGCCAACAGGGAGAGACCCTCCGAAGCCTGCAGACCCGGGGGTTGCTGAAAGGCGTAATTGATGCATTATTGACTGGTTTACCATCTTCTGGTGGTTCATTCAGAATTTTATTTTTAAACGACTTTCCATTTCTTTTTACCAAAATTTCTATCAGTATTGATATTCTGTTGAAATTTCCACTGATCCTTCAACATTTTCATACCTGAGCAAATGTGTGATTCAATTATAAAGATGTCAATTGATCCATCTAACCCTAAATGAGAGATTCCCATGGTGAACCCTCTCTTTGTATCGACTCGGTTGGAATCTTTATTAACAAAGTAATTATTGGTAGAACACATATTCAAACACTAAGGCTATGACAGAAAGATCATACCAACTTTTCAGCGGTCCCAGGAGCACTCCATGCCACTGGATGTTCAGAGTGTTCAGCAAATCTTGACAACTGTGAACTACCAGGTCTTGTCTCTGCACTGCGAGGACGCAATGAGGTAAGTGATGCTTGATTTGATGTCAATGCCCCAGAAGCCGATGACGGCCTAGAACTCGGACCCCATGCATTAGAAGAAGGTTCATGCGCTTTCTCACTACCAGCAGTAGATGGTCGAGTGCCACTTCCAGATGAAAGATGGCCACTGAGATGGCTCGGTGAAGTGCCACCGTCAGCTTTTGGAGACAGTGATGGGGAACCCCATGCATTTGATGCAGAAGATGATCTACTGCCCCAACCGAGGGTGCCCCTGCAAGTATTAAATTCAAAATCACCTAAGTGTTATTCTCCGGTGATAAACTAGTAGCATTGAAATATTATACACTGATCCCAATAGAAATTAAATTGGAAGAGAGAGAGAGAGAGACAGAGACAGAGAGACAGAGACAGAGACAGTACTCACTTGGGAACAATTTCCACATTTGGGTCCCTACCATGATTTTCTAACCTTAAACAGCCAAGTAAGGTAAGGAATTTTAGGTGACAAACAAAGGAGCACAGTAAATTGACTTAAGGATAATTCAGCAGGAAGCAAATACCTCTGACTGGGCAAGTTTACAGGTTTTGGAACTTTCCCTAAAACAGTCATGGGACCTCTTCTGGAAGAAGAAGTCATCCTGCAACAGAATCAACAGAATTAGATTACAACCTAAAGATGTTGATATCTATGTGATTGTCTGTCTCTGTATGCAATATTTCGATCTCAATTTTGAAATAATAATAATACTTGTTGTGGAAGTGTAATTTTGCTTACTTTAAATCTTCCCCACCAACACAATTTACATATAATTAGTTTTTTCCTAGGACATACATCCCAATGTTTTCTTAACAATTTCCCATTGTCTATTCCAAAAGAAAGAAAAAACAAACAATAATCCCCAGTTTCTATGAAACATTGTGAATGTGGCCAGATTAACATAAGAAGTCGCAATAATATTCATACCTCCTGTCCCCCAACAACATACTGGACGTCATGTTTCAATTGTTGCCACAAGGTCATTCAAGCAAATTTACCAAAGCCTGGAAAAATAGGAGAATTTAAACTTCCACAAGTGTGATGATGCAGTCAATGAACCAATAAACCACAGTTTTAACAAGGTTATCAAATGACATAGTACACAACAAACTTTTCATATCTTCAACGAAATAAAGATTCATGTAACATGCTTGTACAAAAAAATTATTTTACTTGCAGTGCCACAGTGCCATACTCCTGATTATTGATTACAACTACAAACCAAAATGTTATCACATAGCTATTGCAGGTGAATGTGTATCATCCAGTTTTTAGCATTCCTCCATGCTATTAATTTCCTATCATACAAAATACTAAAAATTGTCTCATAGAACCTTTTCCTTTGATTTTATGGGTGTGGACTAAACAGAGCACAGAGACACACTTTTTAACTTCATCCTTCTTCAATCAACCTCCCCTTATGCATAATCAAGCCCATGTCACAAAATTAGTTACTCTTGCATACTCTCTTTCCCCATTTTACGATAAAGAACTACTAAGCTTGAGCATTTTTATAGCAATGATCGCTAAACTAAACAGTCTAAACTTATCCCAGTTCTCAATCCCAGAAGAACTACTACACCTTTAAAGGGAAAAAACCGGTTTTCGGCAACCAAAAAAAAAAAAAAGCATCCCTGATTTCAGAAACCTATGCACTGTTTCGTCCTTTGATAGGACAAACAATGGGCCAATACTATATTCAAAATCTATACAACAATAATAATATACGAAAAATCCTTCATTTCCAAATGAAACCCATCATAAGCATAGACCTAAAAAATTGCATAACTATATGTATGTATATAACACCAAAGCACAAAATGCCACCAAAAGAATACGTTCGCTTGGTTGCCAATAAAGCATATGAGAATATGAACATCTCAGAACATATTTAGCGCATAAATGACAGTTGCAAAAGCAAATTCTTATTTATTTCTTCCTCGTGCAGTCTTTATATATATATATATATATATATATATATTATTTTCCTTCTATTTCTCGGGAAACAAACAGGCTAAATTAGCATAACAATTCCGCAAAAATTAAAATGATATTAACTTGCCTGGTATAAGAATAGGTTTTAAGGGGTTCGTGGAAACCCTAGGGAAGTTGATATGGGTTTTGGAAGATATAGAGGGAGAGAATAAACGATTGAAACGCGGCGTATAGGACTTGGGGAGATCGAGAGGGCGGTTCAGAGAAACAGAGATCTTTGTGAGTTGAAAACGAAGATTTTGTGTGTGATTGGTTTCAGATCAGAGAAGAAGAAAATAGGGAGACACAGAAGAGAGAGATAGAGGGAGTCCGAGGAGGAGTTCGAGAGGATGTACGAGTTGCAATCCGATATATTAATTCTGGAACTTCTCGCAAAATTAAATTTGAATTTGGGTTTTTTCAGAATTTTTGGATTGTTAAGCCAAAAAAAAACAAAAAAGAGTTTGGGAATTTTTGGGAATACGGGTTTGCTTTGAAATGGAACTCCCAATCCAAATTGGGCTATAAATTCTTGTTCAGTTTGTGTTTTATCCTTTGGGTTTAAAAGGGCACTGTATTTTCTGTTGTATCAGGTGATGCTATGGGTAATAATGTAATTTCCATGTTTATGTTAGTGAGATTTAGGTGTAATATCCTTATCCTAATTGCTTTCGTTTGTGGCATGAAGTTAAGAGAAAGTCCATCCCAAAAAGCTAAGGCAAGGGCTAAGGCAAGACAAGAGCTGTCACTATTTATGTGAATAGTGGCGGCCTTACATTTTTTGGTTCCACCCCAAAAAGCTAGGGTAAGAGCAAATACTATTCACATGAGATATGATAAGATGAATTTGTATAGAGTTTTTGGTGCGGGAAGTAAAGAATATGCCTAGATATTTATTTTAAAAAATTCTGAAATTTTGGGTTTTTTTTTGCATTTTTTTTCATTATGACATCAACATTGCATCATTCTGCCCAGGCAACAGCTCGGGCTGAATTTGCCTGTGGGCTTGCCTGGGCTCGTGAGAACCAGCTCTTGCCAAGGCTGGACCTTGCGCGCTGGAGGGAGTTTTGGGAGCCTGGGGGGCTGTTGTCAGGGCAGGGCATTTGCGCTGGACATGCTCTAAGGGATCATAAACTTTTTATATTTCAGTTGCATCCAACGGCCAAAAACAAGTGAGCAAAAAGAGTTTTATGTTTTACTTTTGGCTTAATATCACAAAACGTCCCTAAGATTTACAAAATTATCAGGTTTACAAAATTTTATAATTTAAAATTCGTAACATTTTGGTTTTGTGACAAAACAAAACATTAATGATGCAATCTGATAGTTTCGTAAATCTTAGGGACGTTTGATATTAAGCCTTTACTTTTTTGATATAAAGTTCTTCCAACGTTAAGAAAGAGAAGTATGAAGCATTTAACGTGAAAAACTAACCAATTAGCCTAACTTTATTTGCATGGGCATGATTAGTTCGATTTTAGCTCTTATTATCATAAATAGTGTTATAATCCAACATGATTAAGGATTTTGGGGGGTTTTTTGGGTAAATACCACGAGGTGTTCCCACACATACAGAGTGAGATTAATCCCCGATCAGGGTTCGGCCTGCCCCTAACCACTTAGGGTTTTTTTTTTTTTTTTTTGGTAGCATAGGGGGCAAACGCCCAAAGAGACAAAACAGCTAACTAAAGAAAGATAAGACGAGACCTGGGGTCTCCCCTTGTATCAGCAGCCAGGAAGTCAGTAATGTAAGCAGGAGCCTCATCAAAGATATGCAGACCTGGGTTAAAATCAAAACTTTTAGCAGCCAAAGCATCAGCAACACAGTTCTGTTCACGAAAAATGTGTCTAACTGAGCAATTCCAATCAGCACCCATTTTTAGTTTGCAGCAATTAATGATGCTGAAAAAGGGGTGGGTAGAAGAAGTGAGGGTGTTGATAAGAGTCACAGCAACCTTGGAGTCACTTTCTACTTCCACAGTCCGGAACCCAGAGTCCCAAGCTAGGGAGAGTCCCCAGAAGATACCCCACAACTCAGCCTCAAGGACAGAGCCAATACCCAGGTTCACAGAATAGCCCTTAAGCCAACCACCATTTGTGTCTCTTAAAACACCAGCAGCGCCAATATGACCCGTAGTGTTATTCCGACTACCGTCAGAGTTGATCTTACAGCTTCCAGGATTGGGACTATTCCAAGACAGCTGGGTCAAAGCATGAATAGAGGTACCAAAAAAAGGTTTGTTGGCAGCGTACCATTCATTAGCATACTGAAGGATAATTTGCCTTGGTTCAGCATGCAAAGTAAAGTTTTGGTCAAAAACACCTTTGCATCTCCATTTCCAAATAAACCAAAGGGTTAACGTAAAAATCAGATGCCAAGGTAGACCATGAAAAACCTTCCTTTTATTCTTCAGATTCAGCAGGATCCAATCATCAAAGTCAAGGGAGCCAAGATCCCCAACATCAATGCCAATGCCAATCCAAGTAGCAATAGAGCTAGGACAGTCTTTGGACAGGTGCTCAATTGTTTCCATAGGGGCAGCACATCTAGGACAGTTCATGATTTGAGTGAGGCCCCTTTTCTGTCTTTGAACATTTGTAAGTAACTTCTTGTGGCAAAAAAGCCAGAGGAAGGTTTTAGTCTTGGGAGGGAGGTGCAGCTGCCAAATAAACTCCCAAGCCCACTTAAGTGTGGGATCATCAAGAGAGAAAGTATTGTAGGCAGATTTAACAGAAAAGTCACCATTAGGGGTGAGCCTCCAAATATTTTTGTCAACTCCACTACCAGGGAAGCCAGCATGGGTGCTTAGAATAATCTGGATAATATTATCAGGGAGACATTCCCTCAAGCAATTAAGCTCCCAGGTACCATTATCAAGAAAATCACTTACATTCAACTGGAGCATATCTTCAGCTAGATCAAAGAGGGCATGCTGTTGGAGGGGGCCACAACTTAGCCAATTATCTGTCCAGAATCTCACATTTTCCCCAGAACCTACTCTCCACTTGAGGCCTTTAGAAAGAGTTGAAATACCATATAAGACTCCCCTCCAAGCACTAGAACAACACTGGAAGTTAGAAGCCGTAGCAGTTAAGATGTCACGCTGCTTTAGATATTTAGCTTTAAAGACCTCAGCCCATAGCCCTTGCTCATGTTGAAGGAGTCTCCAACCGGATTTTGCCAAGAGAGCTTGGTTCATCCAAGCCATTTTCTTAATACCCAAACCACCAGCTGTCTTGGGTTTGCAGGAAGTTTCCCAATTCACTAAATGAATTGTGGCTTTATCCGCAGTGTGCCCCCAAAGAAAGTTTCTGTTCAACTGATCAAGCCTATCACAGACAGAAACGGGCAATTTGACAGTTTGCATGGTATACAGCGGGATAGCAGCAGTCACAGATTGTAGAAGAGTTATTCTACCAGCCATAGAGAGGGTGTGGTGTTTCCACGAAGCTAACCTTTTTTGAACTTTAGCAATGACCTCTTGATAAGTTGTTTTGTCCACCCTAGTGTGAATAAGAGGGACACCAAGGTACTTTCCAAGGTTAGAGCTGTAGGGGGAGCCACTTATAGCAGCAATAGAGTTGGCCAAGTCGGAGCAGATGTTTGGGGAGACACATATTCTAGATTTATCAAAGCTAACTTTTTGGCTAGAGAGTTGACAGAAATCCTCCAAGCAAAGTTTCATCAAGTGAGCTTGATGGATGGATGCTTCCCCAAAAAGGATAAGGTCATCTGCAAAAAAGAGGTGAGAAATCTTTGGACCTCCATGACAAATTTGAATCGGTTTCCAGGTCCTATCATGAATTTTTTGCTGAATGAGGTGAGAGAGTTTTTCCATGCAGAGAACAAATATGTAGGGGGAGAGAGGATCCCCTTGCCTTATACCGCAATGAGGAGAGAAAGCAGCAGTTAACTCACCATTGAGAATGGCCTTGTATTGAACAGTAGAAAAACACTGCATTAATAATTCCAGGATTCTCCCTCTAATTCCCACCTCCCACAACACCTCCCGAATAAAGTGCCAGTGCAGCCGATCATAAGCTTTAGAAAGATCAATTTTCCAAGCAATAAATCCTTTTTTACCTTTAGCAGTTTTGAATTTATGCAGCACCTCTTGAGCAATAACAATGTTATCTGTAATCTGCCGTCCAGGGACGAAGCTTACTTGATTCGGACTAACAAGCTTAGTCATACAAGGGCGAAGCCTAGCCACAAGGATTTTAGAGACCACTTTATAGAGCGTGTTGCAGAGGCTGATAGGCCTAAGTTGAGTCATGGAGACAGGTCTCTCCACTTTAGGGACCAAGGCAATAAGGGTTTCATTGATGTGATCAGGAAGGGTGGCAGTTTGGAAGCACTCATTGGTAAACGAGATGATATCATTAGAGCAAACCTCCCAAAATTTCTGATAAAAAATAGCAGGGAATCCATCTGGACCAGGGGTCTTTAAACCACCAATGTTGAAAAGGCTCTCTTTAATCTCTTCATTAGACACAGCACAATTCAACCCTGCAAGGTCAGCCTCCTCAAGCTGAGGAAATAAGTGCGGGAGTAAGGAATAATCACCAATTGGGTCAGAAGTGCAAAAAATACCTTGAAAGTAATCAATAACAATTTGCTTCATGCCAGTTTTGTCTGTGGTCCAAGCCCCAGCATCATTGTTAAGGCCTTCCAATTTATTTCTCCTCCTCCTGATAATTGTGGATAGGTGAAAGAACCGAGAATTCTTATCACCTTCTTTAAGCCATGTATTTCTTGATTTATGTAGCCAGAAGAGCTCTTCTTGTTCAAGAAGCAAATTATAATTGTTGGTTAATTCATCTTCAAGGTCACAAAGATGGGGATTATGCCTCAAACACAGCTTCCTTTGGATACCTGCAAGCCTAGCCAGGAGCCGTCTTTTATTCTGGAAAAGACAACCAAAGACTTGGCGGTTCCAGGAAATAAGAGAGGACTTAAGGCGAGCAGCTTTTTGACTGGCATTACCATCTCCAGTATTCCAATGAGCATGAATAAAGTCAGGGAAGTCAGGGTGAGACATCCACATTGCTTGGAATCTGAAAGGGGTACAATTTCTCTCAGGATAGTGGTTGGAATCTAAGGAGACCAGAACAGGGCAGTGGTCAGAGTTCACTCTAGGAAGGTGAGATAGATGAGCCTCCGGGAATAAAAGCCGCCATTTAATGTTGCACAGACCCCTATCAAGCCTTTTCCAAATAATACCCTCAGCATTCCTCTTATTGCACCATGTAAACTTAGCACCAGAGAAACCCAAATCCACAAGTTGATTACGATCAATCCAATCAATGAAGCTTCTACCACCCTGGTCCAGGTTGCCTCCACATTTTTCATCTGCACTTACAATATCGTTAAAGTCACCTAGGACCAGCCAAGGCAGGTGGGAGGCACGAGCAAGGCCATCAAAATAATTCCACAAGGATTCTCTAATTCCCTGGCAAGGGTTAGCATACACCACAGTTAGGAGCCACCACTGATTCCCCAAGGTCACTAAGGCAGTAATAGATTGGCTGGAGTGGGCAACAACTTGGAGAGACACAGAGTTCCCATTCCACAGTAACCAAACACCTCCTGAGAAGCCAATAGCATCAACAATGTGAAAGTGAGAGAAACCCAAATTTTGAGCAACAGTTAGGGCCCTAGACCCACTTATTCTAGGTTCCAAAACAGCCAGGATGTCGATGTCAAAAGTTTTTTTTAGATCCTTAATAGTGCGAGCACAACTATTCTTACCAGCACCACGTACATTCCAAGCAGCAATATTCATTAAAAGATGGAGATTGAGGAAAAGTGACCTTAGGGAGACCCTAATTCTGTGTATGCCCAGTCTCAACGACTGCAGGGACATCATGATAAGGAAGCATACCAGCTTCAAGTCCACTGACCGAATGACCTTGGTCCAGGCATTCACTTTGTTGTTCCATGTCATCAGACGTATCCCTCATCTCTGTATTCACCCCTACAATAGGCTCCATATTGTAATCATCAGGGGGTTCAGGTCCAAGCAGAGTGCCACCCTTAGCCAAGTAGAGATCATAGGGGAGGGGCCCATCTACATTGAAGGAGAAGGCTCCACGAACATCATCCTGCAAATCAGAACCATTTACTTGCATGCCAAAAGTTTCCACAACGGGGAAGTTCAGAGGTTTAGTACCACCTCTATTTTTCCAAAGTTTCTTCGAGCCAGTACCAAACCTATTTAAATCCCTTCCCCCAAGTGTCCCAGTTGAGTTTGTGATATCCTTGAGAGGCTTTTTAAAGACCCAGGGAGAGGAGCCATAGGAGGTTGGGCTTTTGTTCCCAGGGGGTGTAGCTTTGCCATCAAGGATCTCTGCAGGCTTAGCCACGGTTTTGCTAGTCTTGTTTGAGCTAGAAGCAGTTGCTTTGCCAGGGGGGAAATCTTCCATGACTGTTCCATTTTCAATTTTTCCTTCCTCATTCAGGACATTAAACCGAGAGCCATTGTTTTCATTAGAATTCTTTGGGTTCCTCTTGCTAATTTCAGCGCCCTTTCCTGAGTCGTTCAGGATCTTCTTCTTAAAATTCCTTGTCTTCATCAACATCCATTCTCCATGTATCTTAGCTGGATTTTCAGCAGCCAGAGTAGCAGGGCTATCAACTTGTGGCTCATCATTTTTATTCGTAGTGCTCACTTCCATACCTTCAACAGAGTCAGCTATCTTTTGTTTAGCTTGCACAATAATAGGACAGGTATCCCTTCCATGGCCATAACATCCACATTCAAAGTAGACCAGGTTAATGCCTTCATAAACAACTCCAAAGGTACGGCCTTCAATCTCAATAAAACGGGTGAGGGGTTTACTTAAATCCAGTTCAATGCAAATTCTGGCAAACTTACCACGGGCTTGGCTCATTGTGTTGGCATCAACCTTGATTGTATTCCCTATCAGATTCCTAATTTTCTCCAACACATCATAGCGGAAGTATTCAACATTCAAACCATTGATACGCACCCAAGCAGTCATATGAGAGATTTTTTCCTCCTGGGCATTAAATCCAGGTTTCCATTTTTGAGTCACCACGTACTGACCAGCAATTTGCCAGGGACCGCTGGTGAGGACATATCTCATATCTTCTTCATACACAAATTTAACTATGAAATAGTTGTTGTCTAAATCAATAAGGCTCATTGGGCCCTTGAGCGCCCACTTCTGGAGAAGACGAGCTCTTAGGAAAGTGAAAGCTAAGGGGCGACCCATGAGCTTGATAATCACTGCCGTACGCCAGGGCCGATACAACGCATTCTTGATTTTCTCAGAGAATTGGATTGAGGGAATCGTTCCTGATTTGATAGTAATATCATCATCGCCAATTTCCATTTGTTCTTCAGCCATACCAAAGTCTCCAGCCACTTTGTCTTTAAAGCTCATAGGAATTGGGGGCAGTGGGGGGGGAGGTAAATCAGAGTCCAATTCATCGATAGCCAAGACTTCTTGGGTGCGGGCGCGTTTTCCACCAGCAGATGGGCCATCCTTTGTAGGACCTTCAGCAGAGAAGACAAAATCAGTCATGGTTGGTGTTGCAGTGGGCGGCGATGTCGACGTTAGGTTTTGGAGGTGAGGCAGCAAAGAGTTGAAAAGGAAAGCAGGGGAGGCAGAAAGGTCAAGGCGCGTGGGGCGCGTTCTCTTCTATCATCTCGAAAAAAATACGCAGAATTTTCTTGTCGGATTTTGAATAACTTTACTTAGGGTTTTTTTTTTAATTGAAGGATTTTGGGGTTTTTTTCAGTCTAAGGATTTTGGGGTTCGACTCATGACATCCATAATTAAACAACAACGGCCAACGACCAAAGCTAATGCCATTCCATGAAAAATATATATTTTGTACTTTAAATCTTACTATAAATAAGTTGCTACACTCCGACCCTAATTTATTTCTTGTTCAATTTGCCAAACTTTCCCTCCTTTAAAACTCCTAATTTCCAATAAAAAGAAAAAAATGTGGTGGACCATTTTATGAAATATGATATAGGTCACATTCATGTAATAGTATGTTAACTTACTTGAACTTGGGAAAAATCATGAATTAGAAATTTGGAGAACACAAAAATACGAGTATGAGATCAACTACTTTTGTGAGCGAGCACAGTGGCGAACCCAATGCATGCCCAGGAAGGGCATGTGCCCCTCCTTAAATATTGTTGTATGGATATTTAGTTATAGTAAAATTATACAAATATTATGAAATTCCTCTTAAATTCTTAAATTTCCCTATTTTCTTTAGTTTTCTCTTTTATTCGTATATCTAAATTTCTTTTGAATTGCATATATTTTATTATTATGAATGAATTATTTATACAAAAAGTAACAATAGAGAAAGTGAAAAGAGTTTCAAATTTTAAATGTGCCCCCTCTCACTTAAATTCCTGGCTCCACCACTGCTCGAGCATATGAATTACTACTAGTGTACTACACATATATTTTGCAATTTTTATTATTAAATCACAATTTAAACGGAGCCCTGATCCAATACCCATAGGCCCATCCATGGCTCCCATATGGGCCCAAACCCGCTTAAGTAGTTTGTACAGTTGTACGTTGTGCACAGTTCCCCTTCTTCGGATTCATGTAGATGTAGTTCTTCTGAGGCAGCTGAGTAGCGATGTGAAGCTTCTTCACGCATTTTCAGTCGAACCAGGTAAGCTCGCTTTGCTTTTATTTCCTTCACGTGTATCTCTTATTGGGTGGTTGGTTTGATTCAGATCTCTTTGAATCATTTCCACATAATTTGCCTTTTCCTTCACGTCTCGTATTTGCCTTTTGAAATTGGCCTACTTTTCAATTCCAGATGCAGACATAATGATTTCCATATTAGTTCATTTTAGTTTATGATGCCTATTTTAAGCTACCCTTTTGCCCATTTATTTATTTATTTTTTTTCTGGAGCACAAGGCAATGGCTTTGGGCTAAGCATGGCAGCTGGGTTGCATTCCTATGCCCTGTTTGGTATATAAGATTTTGTAAGGAAAGGAAAATACAAATAAAAGGGAATCAAAAAAAGATCAATCGTTAATTAGATTGTTATTAACCATTATGAGTCATAATTGTACAAGTACTATAATAGCATATGGAGAATGGATTGTTACTGGATGCATAAAAATAGTAATAAATTGTTGGCAAGATGAACCTTTCCTATATATAAGTACATATTTGTGCATTCAATGTTGATCTTGTATGTTTTCCAGCTATATATGCTAGTAACTGATTTTTCATACTGAGGTTTTGCTACTAAAATCGAAAGCATGGTCTTTTCTGCAGCTTTGGCTATTTCTCATTTGTTTTCATAAACTTAAGATCAGGAACTTTCTATCAATTAGGCCAAATTGAGTTATTCCTCGACCTTACAGTAGGCAGGGACTGCTAGCAATAAGGAAGTAGGAAGTTGATGGGTGGGTCTAAGGCTGTTGTTTGCTTTGGTATCACCTAATTGACTTGTAACATAACATTTAATATATTTCAGGAGTGGGTTTTGAATTTTGAGGGAACTTTGAAGGTGAAGAGAGAGTGAAAGAGCTGTTATTAGAGTTGGTATTTATTCATGTTAGTAATGCCTCTATGGAACCCAAATCTCCTTCAAAACTTAAGCTCTCAATCACGGGAATTGCTCAATACAAGCAGGCGTTGAGAACGAGTTTTATGGTTACAGTTATAATACTCATATTATTTGGTGCCTATTTTGCGTTTATACCTGGGAAAAGCCATAGTGTATCTAAAGGACCATATTATACGGTGGTTGTTGATTGTGGAAGCACGGGGACCCGAGTAAATGTGTACAAGTGGCTGGCAAGGGATGTAAGTAGTAAGGAATTGCCGATTTTGTTGTATTCTTATCCCAACAATTCAACTGATGGAATTCTTTGGAAAAGTTGTAAGTACCACTGTCTGCAAACTGAGCCTGGTTTGGATAAATCTGTCGGAAACTTATCGGGAGTAAGAGCATCTTTGGAACCATTAATTACGTTGGCAGAACATAAGGTTCCTTCTGAAAAACGCAGAGACACTCCCATTTTTGTTCTAGCTACTGCTGGACTAAGGAGATTGGCAATGAAGGATGCTAGGCGGGTATTGAATGACATAGAAGCTGTTGTAAAAGAACATACTTTTTTGTATAAAAAGAGTTGGATACGGGTGTTGAGTGGCCAAGAAGAAGCTTATTATGGTTGGGTGGCTCTAAATTATAAAATGGGTAGCTTTGGGAATCATTCAAGGTCACCGACTTTGGGACTTCTTGACTTAGGAGGTTCATCATTGCAGATTGTCGTGGAAGTTGATGATACAAGAGAAGATGCAAACTTAGTGAGATCAAAATTTGGTTTTGTCGAACGTGATATTTTAGCTTACTCATTGTCGGAATTTGGATTGAATGAAGCATTTGATAGGACGGTTGTTATGCTCAGCCATATGGAACAACTCAGAGAAAGTGCTTCTGGTATAGTAGAGATCAGACATCCTTGTCTTCATACTGACACTGTGCAAAACTATACCTGCTATGGTTGCTCCCAACAAAACGCTCCTGATCAGAAAAATGTGACCAGTCAAGTGCAAGAAACTAAATTTCCTTGTGTGTATCTGGTTGGAGCGCCAAATTGGGAGCAATGCAGAAGACTTGCTAGGGTTGCTGCTATCAATTCAAGCACAGCTGACACAGACCATAGAGCAAGGTCATGTTCTGATAATGGTAAGTATTACATTTGCTCCCCAGTTCAGCAGTTGAATTACAATTTTTTTCTTTCAAATATTTTGATGTTTGTTTATGCACTTTGACTCATCCAGTTATAAAAGGTCTTGTCTTTGTCGAAGATCACATACTTTCACATAGAAATTATCTCTATGCTCATGATTTTAGGATTCATATCACTATTGTAATTCCTTGCTCATGTTCACAGGGAGTGAAATGATAAATTTGACTGCTTTTGCTCACCCCAAAGCCCGCTTTCATGCACTATCTGGATTTTTTGCTGTTTATGACAAGTTGAATTTGAGCGCAAGAGCTACCTTGATGAAGATTTGGGAGAAAGGCCAGCAAGTATGCTCCAGATCATGGTCTGACCTAAGCAGTAATTCACAGAATGCATATTTTGCTTGGCAATATTGTTTTCGTGTACCTTATGTGGCATCGCTCATTGATGATGCCCTGTGTCTTGGTGACAAAGAGATCATTTTTGGTCCTGCGGATGTTACCTGGACATTAGGAGCTGCATTGGTCGAAGGAGAATATTTATGGTCAAGTCCTACTAGATCTCAAATTAGCATTTTAGCCCTAAATATGGAGGTTATATCCTCTCCCATTTTTGTACTTGTTTTACTTCTTAGTATTCTATTGATTGTATATTGTTGTCAAGTCAAGCTCCCCATGATAGGCAGGAAGAGCGCAGTAAGAGGACAGAAGATGATAGATTAGATGTTATGTACTCTTAGATTGCAATAGACAAATTTTATTCAATAACAATTCAAAGGCCAGAAATTGATTGACCATATACTACACGCTTTCGTTGTTTCCTGTCGAGCAAAATTGGACTAGAACATATGAGTTTTTCTAACCCCCAAAATTATAAAGCTAAAAGTAAATATATTCTACTGGCAAAAGATAAACGCCATTTTTTTGTACAAAAAGAATTATACACTGGTACATCAAGTCAAAACTTGAGAGACATTTCTCAGTCTCTAAAATTGGCCGGCACCGTTGCATCTGTAAAATATTCCTTCCTGACAATCTCCACAGAGCAAAACCTCACCTTCAAGAGAAATACTTCAAATGAAACGGGAATAGTAGACAAGTAAACAAAAGAAAAATACAACAACAAAGTTGCACATTCACAATAAAGTTTATGGTAGAGGGCCTGCATCAGATATCAAATTTAAAATAGACACCTGACCTAAATTCCAATGATGGCTTTCAGAACTTGACTGACAGGCCACATTCACGAAAAATCTTAAGAAACTCTGTAGTGGATAATCTCAACCGTTTAACTATTGTGATGGAGTTAAAATAGAATGTACGAAATTTGAGCCCAAGCATGCTCATGGAATGGAATGCTAAATTAGGTGTTCACCACCACCACACCCCCCCTCCCTCCTTTCCCCTTTTCTTTTACTCTCACACAAGTAGGTGGAGAAGTTTTTAAAGCTCAAAGGAGCTGAGGTCTTCCATATATCCCCTGCTCCTCCCATATGCACATATTCACTAAAAGTATCAAATTTGAATGCAGTGCAAATGCAGTATGAAATTTCATTTTGACTAAATATATAGCTTTTGAACAAAATTATATGAAAGATTCGTCTATGATGGAATACATACCAACGAAGCATATGATTTTAACAAAGGCTTGGCCAGCTGCCAAATTGGCTTGAATATAAATGGAGCTTCCACAAAGAGGACTTGGCCCAATCGCTTTGGATAATAATAGTAGAAAACATCAAACTGCAATAGATTGGGAATCAACTCAAAATGAGCATCATGAAATTTTCATGACAATTAATATCTATAAATAGCGCTGAAAAGGAAAATCAGCGGGTAGCTTCTAAAACGTACCAAAAATGTTATGAAACTTAAATCTGCATTCTCTGTACCGAAGCCTCGTAGGTCAAAGATTCCAAGTATGTCTTCTGTCCCTTCTGGAAGGGCACTCAATGCCTTCTCAATCAAAAACACGCAGAGCTTCTCATTCTCAGCATGATCATGCACCTATAACACATTGTTGTGCTGTTACCAATTAATCATACAAACTTTGATCTAAGCCAAAGGTCAAAAAATTGGTCACAATTTTCGAAAGGGGTTACCATTCTGGACTAAGATTGGTATGTAGCATCTCAGAATATTAAGATTATATGATATGCAAGACCAGACACATTTTCAGGCACAGTGCATAGCCAAAAGAATCAAACTTACAGCAGGAAGATGCTTAGAGGCATCCACTATGAGAACTGGTCTACCATTAACATCAAGAAAGTCATGTACATAAGCTTTTCCAGTTTCGGCTACACTCTTCACTGAATCGTGAGATAATTCAGACACCCCAAATTCTTCACGCCATTTCTATTACAGGATAAGGAAATACAAGGAAAAAAAAGAAACTATAATCGTAAATGCATCAACATTTTCCAGATTTCCAGGAAAAAGAATCTAAAAAGAAATGAACATTCCAAAGTAAAATGCAAGCAACAGCTAATGCAGCCAACCAAAATATTGAGTCCTGAAAAACATGATTGAGCTAGAGGAGGATACAATTGCTTTAGTCAGTCTTTCAACGGATTTGTCGACGGAAAACTTGCGGTCCTTGAGAAACCAGAGGATCATATCCTCATCATCTCTTCCATTTTTGCCTACAGGGAGACTTTGATGATCTTTCTCAAGCTTCTCCTTCACTTGCAAAACTAGCTGCAAAACCACCAAAGACCGTAACAAAACCACCAAAGTGTATATCTAGCTACGCAAAATACAATGCAAGCCACACATTTTGAAGAAGATTAAGAAATATAAATTGCTAAAAAAGTTTCAATCTTTATGTTCCTCAAAATGTGAACTAAAAATACAAACTTCAACACTCAAACATGCATATTAGAATCATATTTTACAACTTTCCTAGTCACTTTCCCACAATTTTCCGAGAACCCAAACAGATGCAGAGTTAGTGGTACTGGTAGATGCAGGTAACTTTACCTTGTGTGATTCGTTGGGGTCTAAGCGGCAGCTCCGAACAGAGAAGCTTCGAACTTGGGAGGATTTAATTTGATAGGAGCAATTGGAGAGAAAAGGAAGACGACGAAGAGGGTTGCAGATACGGAGCTCCATTTGTGTGAATTGAATGGTGTGAAACCGCTGAATCGGATCGCGGTTTTCGTAGGCGTTACATGAGGAGGGCGATGAGGCTGTCTGTCCTAAGCGGCTCACGGTGACGCGACGCCACGTGGCTCACAAACAACAAAACTATTGTCCTTGCACTGCAAGAAGGACTAATTGGCAAATATATTTCTCACTATTCACAAATAGTGAGAAATATACAATGTCGTTTCTGCTCCACTAAACGACAAAATAATCAAGGGTACTTTTGACGTTTCATATTTTATAAGATGTTGCACTACTCACGTGTGGTTTCCATCACACGTGTTCGAGCAAAGCGCGCGCCTTTCTTCTTCTTCTTCTCTCTCTCCCATAAGCTTGTTCTTCAAACTTTCAAAGTTTGTGTATTTTGCTTTTAGTTTTGATTAACTTAATCAGGTTTTTGTTATCAAGTGAGTGATTAACCGGTTGGTTTGATGGGTTTACTGTTTTTTTTTTCTTTTCTGAATTTCATTTCCAAGTAAGTTTGTGACCGTTGGATTTGTCAATGTCAGCAATTTCATGCTTCATTTAGACGTGCATTTAGTTTGTTATGTTAATGCAATTGTTGAAAGGTTTAAACTTTGAACTTGATATTCTCAGTAGACTTTGTTTTTGTTGGCACTTGACAGTGAGTGAAATTAATGAGATTGTCCCTTTTGGCATGGCCTCATCCAACCCTCCTGCTCCAATTGACATTTTCTAGCAGTAATTTTGATTACAAGGATGCCAATTTTGGTTTTCAGTAGTTGTGAAAATATAGAAAGAATTGATGTCACAGAAGTTCAAGAAAGAGGGTTGCTCTTGGATGCAGTCCAGCATCCTTGACTGTGATCCCCATTTGGTCAACCCCATAAACTCTTTTTGGGAAGCTTGAAATCAATCTGTAGTTTGCTATACCAGGGAGGCCTAATGAATCTATGTATCTGTAAATTGACTGCACTTTGTCTGTGCACAAGAAGCACTGCTCTCTTCTTTCCCCATTTGGAAACCTTATCAGTATCTGAAGAAAACAACAATGAAACAACCAAATTAACAATATAATTACTCTTTTTAAAAAAAAACTCAAAATGTGATGTTTTTGGCTCCAAAATCATACCTGTGCAGCAGCCTGAGGATCCTTCCCCCTATTTGCAACCTCCTTGTATTGAGTTTCTCTTGTACTAGAAGCCTCTTTGGTTTTTCCATACTGTTGTTTGGTAGGGTAGTTTTGAAGTCTCTCATTTTTTGCTTTGGTAGGAGCTTCTGCTGGTTTCTGAGCTCTGTCTGCTGGAGGTAGATTTTTTTGCTTCTCCTTTTCCTACAGAAATGGGCAAGAATGTTGGTTCATTGTCAACTTTCTGCTTCACTAGATAAAGTCTTGGACCTAAAGCATTGCATATATCATATGTATAGGCACAAACAAACCTTGTCTAACTGCAGAGCTGCAAGATATGCTGCATCTTGTTCTTCTCTTAGACGACGGTCTGCTATTATAGCTTCTGCCTGCTTGACCTTTGAACTACGAAAAGCCGACCCTTGTTCCTCCACAGTCCTCTGCAGAATCCCCACCAACTCAGTTGGGGAAATTGGTCCTTCCATCTAAACATGGACAAAGCAAAGAACAATAGTGATGGTTTAGGCATTCAATATGTATATCTGGAACCAATGGATGATTATTTAATGAAAAAAGTACTAAAATACTTTCAAGTTTCAACCAACCTGTCTTAGCACTGCTATGCTTTCACCAGGAGCAGGAGCTATAACCGCACAGAATGGAAAGCAAGAAGGGTTCATTGTTGCAGCCATTTGTAGACCTTCCCCTCTATCAGCAAGTGCTCCCCAGGAAACAAAGTTAGCATCAAGAAACTGCACCACCAGCTCTGAAGACAGTGTCTCCCTACAGAAAGAAGGTGTGAAGGGATGTTCCGGTGAGTGGAGATACATGAACAAGAACTTGTGTTCATCCTCCGCAATCTTTAAGGTCTCTATAAAATGGCAAGCATAAAAGAATGGATGCATGGTGCCATATTGCTGCTCAAAGCTAGGTAGAAAAGCTGATACATCTAGACCAATTAGGGGCTCTTCTGGATGCTGCGGTTGAAAGTTTGATGGTAGAGTTTGAGGTTTTCTTCCTCCTATTCCTATTAGGCCTCTACGATGACCCATGGCTCTTGAAAATCCTCCTATAATGCTTCTGGGAAGGCTTACCATCCGGCGAACAATCCCATTGCAAGAGGCCTCTCCTGCTGATCTTACGCCTTCCCTCATTGCCGATGACATAGTTAACTATCTACACTATCCCCCAAGGATAACAGAAATTTGGAAAGAAAAAGAAAACAAAGTAGAGTGTTGAAGTTGCTCTTTGCTTATTAGAGTGGTGATGAGATTAGTTGAACTTAAAATGTGGCTTTGTAAGACCAAATGAGATATATAGTTTATGAACAAACAAGCAGCAGTCAGTTTCATTGTTCCTTTATTTGATGAAAGTTCAATTGTAGAGATAAAAAAGAGCATTGTGGGAGAATGTGAAGATGCCTCTTCCTTTTTCAGGTTCTACAAAGATGGAAGCAGAAGGATGCTTTGCTTGTCAAGAAATCCACCGTTAATTGAGGAAGAGATGCATTCAATTTGATTGAAACAGACTATGGTGGACCGAGGATCCATCTTTTTATCCATCATTTCAGAGTCCAAAGAATTCATGCTCCTTGCAATGCCGATACGACGGACTAATAGTTTGTTCTCAGAATCTGTTCTTCCATGAATGTTTTTTTTCAATACCAACAAATCAAATCAATTGAAAACTGGAAATTGAAGGGCGAGAATTTTGGAATAAAGATAAAAGTTAAAGTGAATGTTATGTGTAAAATGAAATTAATTGGTTGGAGCATGCCTTTTTCATTAGTCAAGAACTGACAACTTGTTGCCAATATAGTCAAGGTAGCCCTTTTCCCAGATTAGCATCATTGTTAGCTTTAAAATGTCAAGATTAGTGACCAAAGTAATGAAAGTGTTTTCTGTACTTGAGTTGATTGATCATCTTCCAAGTCTTCCAGACCAGTTTTCTCTTCTTTCATATCTTTCAGGGTAAGTCATGATGTCAAGAAATCTTTTTGACCTCCAAAACACAAACCACAAACCGCATTAATTATTTTTATTTATAAAATGATTAAAAGAAAAAGAAAATCCAAAACCAAAATAAATTCAAACAGTGTGTTTGAAACTTTGAATGGTGGCTACCCATGTGACAGTGGAAGTCCCTACATGTATAATTGCATCAAACCTTTGAAGGTCTCAAAGTATTGTGCTTTTTAAAAAAGCCAAATAATTTCCAGCTTTTCTTTCATATATAAATAGTGGAAAAAAAGATAGTAACAGCTCCTATGAAAGATAAAGATCACATGGTCTCCACATTCATCTGAGATTATGACCCATCATCAGCTTCAAGCTTCGAAGTAGGCACTAAGGTAGGTATAGTGCCTTATAGCTTCTGCATTATATAATCTGCAGGCACCACTATGTATCCTAGGCTATAAATGGACTGTCTTATGATGATGCTGAAGATTTTGGTCAAGAAAAATTAGGTGAATTTGCTAATTGGGTTATTATTTTTTTCTAATTTCTTATTAGCCTTTACTCTTAGAAACCAGACCTTATGGTGTAAGTAAGAATGTTATCCATTTCTGGTACCTGCAAATCTTAATCATTGAATAATCATATGATTATATTCTAATTCTTTGCTCATCATTCTTTTAAAACGGTATTTTCACAATTCACAAGAGAATCTACCAGCTGGGCGTGCCTTCTGCTACAAACTAGAAACTGCAGATGATGTAAGATTTAATATCAGTCATATCAGACCAAGATTGAAGAATTAGAGCAAATCCCAGTATAATATCAGAGCTAGCTCCAACAAAATTGCAGGGTAATAATATTTTTGCTTTTGCAAGTTGGCACCCTTTCAAAAAGCATACGGCAATGGCAGCCTTTCACGCCAAGAAGAAAAAAAGGTGACACAGTTTTATATAGTTTATGCCATGAAATGACATTAACTTTAATGGATTGCATAACCAACACAAATTTTAAAGAATATAATCCGTTCCCTGAGAGATCTTAGATAGCTTCAAAGTTCAAACATGTATGGATTCAGGCCATACTCTTTTTTTCTTCTTTTAAATTTGTAGATTATAGTGGGGCTGGAATCTGTTACTTTTCGAAAGGGGGCATGGTATGGTTGCCACTGGAACAACTTAATAATCTCAATGTGGTGATGTTGCTTTTAATGAGCGTGGGCTTAGTGTGGACCAATATTCATCAACTGGTTGCTGCAGAAGTTGTTGGGAGTGTGAGTGGATCTTTTGTGAAAAGAAGAGAGCATTAAAGATAGAATAGAAATTAGCAAACAGGGGAGGGGATGAGGCCTCAAGCTGAAAACTCGTGTGAAACGGAAAAAAGTTACCACGTATGATATACCGCGTGATTAGTAGGAGCATTTGAAAGTAGCAAGCAAGCACCATTGCCCAGGACCCTCAAAAGAGAACGAAGCACCAGGCTTGAGGGCCCATACCTTTCTGCCTCCCACAAGCTTTAGTGCCAACCAAGTTAATTATGGTTAATTACAAAAAATTACTAGGTGTAGGTAGGAATCTTTTAACTTTCCTATAATTAGGAGCCTTGTTAGACCTCAGTATGATTGATTACACATTAGAGTGGTATGCACATGTGGCTTTTTGCTGGCCCTTAATTACTTTTGGGGATCTTATTATATAGGTGATGGTACTCTCTTGCAGCATGAAACTAGAAAACCTATACTGATTTGGACATCAAGCTTTAGGCTGCTGTCAATTTCAATCACAGCTCTCTATTATCAGTATCGTGTGTGTTTATAATATGAGTTGATTAATAACACTATTAATAACACAGGAATAATAACTTCTTTTATTATTATCAAATAACTGATGTATTTATTGATATTATACCTTTTAAACACATATGTTTATAACACGAGTGAATTAGTAACACCACGTGTTACTGTTACGGAAAAGTTGAAAAACTTCCCATCTTTAAGGCCCTGGTGATGGAATGGTGC